TCTGCCCCCTGGTGGTCAGTGCACGTCATAGCGATCGGTCATTCCGCTGTTTGGTCGATTTGCATATTAGGCTTTTATTGTATAGGACGGTATTGTTAACTGTACTCATCATCCTGTACATAACACCCCAGGACTTCTTTATAACTGGGAATGTGTACCTCTTGACCCCTGTCACTCATTCCCCACCCCACCCTGCCTCGAGCATCCAACAACCTGTTCTAAATGAGAGAACTACCTTAAGAGCCTCTTATTTCAGAAAGATGTGTTACTGCACGTGATCGCATGCTTCGTCACGTCAGTACACCCACTCAGTCTGCAAACACTGGTTCGTAGGGACGGAATACAGATGGAGGACATGGGTGCCCGTATCAAGGAGTTAACGAGCCCGGCCGGTGTGGCTCAGTGGTGGAGCATCTGCCCATGAACCAGGAGGTCACAGTTGATTCCCGGTCAAGGGCACATGCCCGGGTTTTGGGCTCCATCCCCACTAGGGGGCGTGCAGGAGGCAGCCGATCCATGACTCTCTCTCGCCAATGATGTTTCTCTCTCTCTCCCTCTCTCTTCCTCTCAGAAAGCAATAAAAATATTTTTTTAAAAAGAACAATTATTATTATTTATTTTTGCTAAATAAACGTTCAGGAAACAGGAAGAACAGGTCCTACTTACAGAGATGCGCAGGGCCTTTCGCCGTGATCCTCACACTCCGACTGCCCAGGGGCACCGCGATCACGTTTTCCTCCCCTAGGAGAGGGCACAGGGCCAGGGTTGTCAATCAAACCTGGGGGCGGGGCGAAGCGTCCCCAACACACTGCGGACAGACCACGAGAATTCTCGTTTGGTCCTATTCAAGGCTTGTGGCCAATCACGAGAATTCTTTCAAGAGCTATTAGCTTTTGTGAGAGCATGTGATCAATAACTTCAAAATGCAGTGGGTGTTTAATTTTAAGGCGTGCCTTTAACACTTACGTAAAATGTTTTTTGTACGCATTCCATAGAAACTTATCTGGCCACTGGGTAAAGCTAGCAATAAAACTGCATATAAGCCCAACCAATGGACACAGACACCAGGGGGGTGAGGGCAGGAGTGGGGGTGATGGTGATGGTGATGGTGATGGTGGTGATAGTGATGGTATTGGTGGGGTGATGGTGTTGGTGGTGATGGTGGTGATGGCGATGGTGTTGGTAGTGATGGTGGTGATGGTGATGGTGGTGGTG